ACACACACTCACACTCACAGTCACACACACACAGACTCCAGTTTAAAAGAATAGAAAAGGAACCTTTGAGTGATTTCAGGTGATAATTGATTTTGAACTCTGAGTGTAATTTGTGCTATTTTGAAATCGAACAAATCTCTAAATTTTAGTCTTTAATAGAATAAACTTCATGTGATTGATTCCTCTGTGTGTGTGTGTGTGTGTGTGTGTGTCCAGGTGATCATTCTGATCGGTAACAAGGCCGATCTGGAGGCTCAGAGAGACGTGACGTACGAGGAGGCCAAACAGTTTGCTGAAGAGAACGGTGAGAGCTGTGTTTGTGTGACGTTATGAGACAAACGTCTGTGTGTGTGTCTGTGTGTGTGTGTGCCTGTGTGTGTGTGTGTGTGTGTGTAAAATGTTCAGATCAATCGGACTGATTAGGATCTTTACTTCCTGTTGTTCAGGTTTGCTGTTTCTAGAGGCCAGCGCTAAGACGTAAGTACACAGACACTCATCAACTCATCTATCACACACTGGTTGTGGTTAATGGTTTTCGTAGTAAAGCGAGTTCACACATTTTACGTTTCTACAGTTACGTGTTGTTACGAACACGTTAGGAATTGTTAAAATGTGATATTTCTTAAAGGGAGTTTGGTGCAGGGAGAAACTACAGAAACACTAGTTGACTGATAAAGTCTTTAATAATGGGAGTATTGATTACTGATGCTGGCTGATCAGGATCATCATTATATAGAACACATAAACATGCAGCTAACACACATCTGTAGACTGTTCTCAGATTATTTCTGTTCTTTCCTCAGAGGGGAGAATGTGGAAGAAGCCTTCCTGGAGGCGGCGAAGAGGATTTACCAGAACATCCAAGATGGCAGTCTGGACCTGAATGCTGCCGAGTCGGGAGTCCAGCACAAACCTTCTGCGCCGCAGGGAGGCCGCCTCAACGCCGACAGCCAGCCGCCCAAAGAAGGTTGCAGCTGCTAACCCCAGAGAGAAACTACAGACCCATCAAACGGACGGACGGACAGAGACAGAGACACGGAGGTCCCCCTCTCCACCGGGCACCGACATCTTCTACCCAGATTGTGTCAGACAGGATTTATCTGGGTTACATTTAACAAAGCAGCCCGACCACCTGTTGTCCAGACCTCATTTCAGAACCCAAAACAAGATTCAACCATCCTCCACACAATAAATCAGGGATCCAGAACTATCCACCTCTGGATCAGTGTTGGACCCTCAGCATTAATCCCAACCACTCTTGGTCCACACCTGGATCACGCTGGGTCTCATTCCAGCTCACTCACTAGGCCACAATCCAGTCTTTCTTCAGCCCACTCTCAGGCACGCATGGGCCAAAACCAAGGCCAATCTGGACTATTCGAAGCCCAGAATAGAACAGTGATCCACCCAGCACCAGAAACCACTTTTCCAAGATTAAAATCCCCTTCCGACTCTGGAACGCTGTTGGCCCAACTCAAGGTCAGCGCCGAGGAGCGATCCAGAGCCTGTGCTTTAGCTGGACCATCCCTAGTCCAGATTTAGACTTCCTTCAGCCCACATCCAGACACGCTTGGTTCTAACCCCAGAACCTGACAACTCTCTTCCTCTAGACCGGACTAACCCCCACCCCAGACCTTGTTTCTTCCAAGTCTACAACGCTCTTGGTCCAGCTCAAGCAAGAGTTGAAAATGGGAACTCCCTCATCCATGTTGCAAAACATCAAAAGACAAATGAAGATATGAGGATCAAATTTGGACCAAACCAAAAAGGGGTCGCCTTTCCTCTGAATCCAGATATTGCAATGGACAGATCCAGAGCCGATGCTTCAGGTGGAACATCTGGGGTCCAAGTCGAGCCTTCGGGTCACATCCAGGCACGGTTGACCTCAAGGTACACGAAGATCTCCAGACAACCTCCAGAGTCTGAAGCCCCATTGGCTCTCTGTGAATCATGTGTAGTCCAAACTTGGTCCGTCCCTCAAATTTGGACTCCCCTTGTCCAGAGAAACCAATGAAGATACAAGCTTCAAATTCTGAAATCCACATCCTTGGCTCAAGTCGGACTGCTCTCGGTCCAAATCGAGGACCACCAAAATCTTAAAATCTAGACCTCAGGGTCAAATTCAGCTATAATCTGATCTGATACAAATCCAGATCCTAACATCCAGTTCTGACATTCACTCTTCGAAGAACTTTAGGATTTATATTCGTACTTATGTCCTATACGTGTGTGATAGCCCATCAAAATCATCATCATCATAAAATCTAACGGGGAGTGACCGGGACATCTGGACTCGCCTCCGGGAATCTTTCTTCCTCTGCTCGAGTTCAAGCTCCTCATCTCTCTTGTTCCTCATCCGGGAGTTTCCAAACGACGCTCTCCAACAGAACTGGCTTCGAGCTGTCGGTCCATTAGATCAATGTGGACTTTGTCGCATTTACACCATGTGGTTAATATGAATCAGAAGATAATCGTTGTTGATGTGGACCAGAGAAACTGTTGTTCTTGTGAGCAACTTGATTTTGGTTAAAGGGGCGCTCCACTGATTTAACAAATAACTGAGTTTGTAAGACGGGGACATTCACATCTACTGAAAGACGCTATTGCTTTATGTAAATTGTCGGATCGAGGGATTTGGATTTGAACCCGTATTAGTTACTAAAAGTCAGGATATCTCCGCCTTTGCTGCTTCAGTTTTCAGTCTCTTGTAAGTAACTAAACAATGTAGTTTGCATGACGTTTAAATGATTGGAGTTCCCCTTCAATCCGAGCTGGAAGGAGGGAAAAACATCGGAAAATGACGAAAGAAAAGATCTAGTACACATAGACCCACATGTAAACACGTTTATACATGAAAAGCATTAATACACACGTTACAGGTCTTTATACGGGGTTTCCAGCGGGTTTCAGCAGGTTCGACCTTTTTAAGATCTTTATGAATCCGATTTTAAAAACTATTTTACTGGCAAACAAAAAGTACGAACGATATGAAACCAGTATTGGTTCCATGTCGGCTTTGTTTAGTAGTTACAGCATGATCAATACAAAATCTCCCTAAACGATACATTAACTTAACTTCATTGATCTAATAAATTTTTGCAGATACTTTTACACAAATCCAAGATCAACAGTTCGTAAAGTATCTGAGGACACAAAGCTCAATTTAAAGGACCAGTGTGCAGCATTTTAGTGACATCTAGTGGTGAAGTTGCAGATTGCAACCATTTGAATACTACTCACCTTTCAAACGACTCCGCCAGAAGAGGATCTGTAGATAAAAACAGTAATTAGATTGATCACACATGAATGAAAACATACCTATAGATATTACATTATAGTAATGTTACACACTGGAGCTTTAAACTGACTTTGGTCCCGGGTCAGTAACCAAATCCACCGTCACTGCGTCTGCACACTTTGCCTTTCGAAAACATTTTAACTAAATAACTTTGTCCAAAGCGACTGATTGATTACTGATCACTCTGTGGAGAGGTAAAGCGACTGATTGATTGATTATTGATCACTCTGTGGAGAGGTAAAGCGATTGATTGATGAAGGTCACGATGAAGAAAGAAAATGACTTACCTGAACCAGAATGTCACTACTGGTCCCCTCAGTGGATCACAAGTTCAGGATAGATTTTTATTACATTTTTCTTGTTATTGTTGATTTTTTTTTTTTTTTCTAACGTGTTTCCAAATATATATACAGTATATTTCCAATGTCACAGCTCCCCCTAGTGGCCATTTCTCGGGTCCCTCCCGGTTTAGTGCGTGTTGAGGGGAAGAAAAATGGCACCAGTGGAAGCAACGCAGATTCTTTTAATTTATTACTGCCTGTTTTTGTTTTGTTTGTTTTGTTTTCTTTTTAATGTTAGGCCGAGATTACACTTTACTTGAATGTGTTACTCTGGTGTCTGGTTCATTCCTAAGCCCCGCCCCTTTTTGTTCTGTGCTCCAATAACAGTTGAGAAAGCCGCGACCAACTTCCTCCTGTACTGAAGATGGTTAAAAGATAAGAAACATCTATATAGTCACATCTTAAGTCGGGATTGATGTAAATTAGCAAGGGTTGTTCTCTGTAGCACACTGAAGTTAACTAGTTAAAGATTTATGTAGATGAGTTAGTTAGCAGTGAGTTAGTTAGCATCCTCAGGTACTCAACTGTTATTGGACCACAGAGCAGAAAGGGGCGGGGCTTAGGAAGGGTCAGGTGTGAGTGAAGGTGTCACACGTCTTACGTCCTCGTAGTTCACGTAGAAACTGAACTGAATATCGCTTAGCTCTGCGTTACGAGACAAATTATTACGCTCGATATCTTAAAGAAACAGAACTTTTTGCCTTCCAATCAAACGTCAGACTCTGGTGATCCGGTCCAACTCAAAATGTCCCCGAGCCTTGATATCCTGAAGTGCTTTAACATTTCCTCCACTGTCACTGTTAATCATCAGCTAAAAGTAATTCATGTGTGTGACCTCGGCGCTACATGAACCAGCTCTGCCAGTCGAACAGGATCCGTCAGTAAATTTAATTCCTTAAGAAGCATTCCAGCACGAAACAGGAAGACCGACAGTGTAAACTTTATTTAAGCATATTTTAAAGCTGTATTAACTTTGTGGTCACTAGAGGAGAAAGGAAAAAAACCAAAACAAGCTAACGGATGCGCACAAAGTATAAAATGTAATATTTCATTTGATTCAGTGTTTTAAAAGAAATTATTACCGCAGATATTCTACGATTCTGCTCTTTCTCTGATGGATTACCGTCAGATTTACACTAAATTAATCAGCTCGAGCTTCCCGTTCGTGTTCAGGGTCTCAAACATTCAGTGATACTTTCACATAAACTTCACTACCAAGAGGGAGATTTTTAAAAACCCTGAGAAATGTTTCCCCCTCGAGGTCCAGATGAGTCCCAGAAGCAACAAATGTCACCAACAAACTGTTCGATGAATCAAAATATAAATTATTACACGAGTGATAAAAGTAGTGACGTAAAAATGAATCAGTCAGCAGTTTAATCTTTTATCTGCATTAAAGTTTCTGTGTTTATAAAAATGGGAGAGCGCAAAGTAAGAAATATATGAATATCCAGTAAAATGTAAATGTTCTGTGTTTCAGTGTGGAAAAAGTACAATTCAGAATTATAAAGGTTCACAATAATGAGATATTAATTCACCAATAATCATGATTTAAAATCAACCATTAGTATTTTTTGTTTAAGATGATAATTTGAATGTTTTAATGTCATAAAGTCTTAATTTTACTGTCGTTCATTGTAGTTTGTGACGGCCTAGATGTTTCTCAGTGACATTTGTCTCCTCTGGGACTCCGTACTGTTGCTGTGATTGTGTTTGACGCCCCCCGTCCTCTGTGATACCGCGGTTCAGATTCCCGATCCCGTGTACATATCCAGTCCGAGGACTCCTGGACCACGTTTACCTGCGTGTCCACATCTGTCTGAACGGGGAGTGACCGGTGTGATTTTACTCTTCGCTGTCCTCTGATTGGTCGACAGCAGCCGCCTTCTTCTACTGTGACGCTTGATTTCTGAATGAAGCCCCTCCCTCACTGTAAATCTCAACACATCGGACTCACAGTCTCATCTTAATAACCTGCACGCTGCGTTCGCTAGGGGGCAAGAAGTCAGTTTAATTTCCTCGTTGATGCTTGTGTGTTTTTAAAACTTTACTCTGGAAGATTTTAACAAGTTTCCAGAAACCAAAGGGTCACAAAACGACTAATTCACAGAAAAACCTTCACGTTGTGACCGCCGCCTTAAGCTTCTCTCGCCAAAGGAAAGCAAAATATTCAAAAAGTGATTAAAACGTGGCAGGAGAGCGAGCAGTGCCAGGACTGAAGGCGGCAAAATCTGTCGGTTTAAAGATGCTCTCGCTGATTTTAACAACTTTACTCAATTATTCAGTCCCTCCAGGAAGTTTCAAATAACGTGAACTCAACAAATCCCTGTGAATTCTGAGCAACTTTGACCAATTACATTGAGCCAGACGTCACCATCATACGTGTTTGTTGCAATTCTCACAAAAATCACAACTATTTAGGCAATTTTTCACTTTTTCACACAGTTTAAATGCAAAAAAATGGCTTATTAATATCACAGTTTTTGTAGAGAAGCTGCCATAAAATCTGGTATTTTCGGCCGCAACAATCTGCCGTAAACATCGCGTGTAATCCTGGAGGGACTGAGCGATCAATGACCTGGAACATCTTCAAATAGACTGAAATTGTAGAAAACAGCTGTGCACTGAGGTTTTAAATTATTCAGTATGTTTGTAGCATTTCAAACCCTGATATTGATCGGCCAGACGGAGGCGCTGTAATCAGTTTGACCCCCCGCCCGCTGGCTGGAACATAACTGTACATTTATTTTCTTTCTGTAACGTCTGTTGATTTTCTGTCTGCTAAAGTAACAAACATGCTTTTTATGATTCTTTGACTATTTATATTCTAAATCTGTGTTGATTTTCTTCAGCTGTACGTTGTCATTGTACAACCACGGGGGATTCAGTTCTTTGTAAATAAAGTATATATACTGTATATACGCCGACGACTCGCTGTGGTTTCTTTAAACTCATCTGCAGCCTCAGTCAGTCTGGTGGAGACTATAACATGCTAACGATGCCGTCTTTGGTGTTTTTTACATACCCTCCACTCAATTTCTGTATATTACTGAAGTAAAGTTCAGTAGTTCTTTACTTTCGGATACAGTTTTTGGTATTTGTGCTTTATTTTCTGAGAGACAGCCGAGAGAGGAGGGTGATGTGAGGAAGGACTCGTGGTAGACGCTCCACCAGGTGAGCTACTTCAGCTCTTCTAACTGTTGGTACACATGAAACAAACGAGGTTTAATGTGTTAATTAGTGAGCGTTAGAGATGCTGGTAGGTGGAGTTGCAGGCTACCTGTTTCCAGTCTTTATGCTAAGCTAAGCAGCTCCTCATATGTTTTTAGTTAACAGTAAAAGTAGCTGCACCACAGCGTAGAAGTATTCCCATTATAAGTAAGTCTCAGTCAGTCCCTCTGAGGCTTTTTGGGGGATTGTTGAAGCCTAAAAAAGCTGATTTCACAGCAGTTTTTTTTGCCATTAAATTGTTGGAGAAAGTAAAAAACTGTTGTTATCCTTCTTGTATTATTAATCAAAATTGAAGGCAACTTGTTCCTGTGAAAGAATGAAAGCAGAGGACTGCTGTTTCTGGTCAAACTCGAAGGAAACTACAATAATTAGTGTTAATTGTTGTGATCACAGCTTCCTGGAGGGACTGATTTAAGGACCAGTGTGGAGCATTTAGTGACATCTAGTGGTGAAGTTGTAGATTGCAACCAGTCTGAAGTAATCTGAGTAAACTTTAACTTATTTGTCCTCAGCAGTTGATCGGGCTCCTGAATTGTTATGAGAACTTTGAGAACTTTATGACAACGTTATGAGGGGGTGAATAAGTCTTGCTGAGCACAGCTTCACATACATAATTGTTTATTGTAAATATTAAACACAGATGAGATAAAAAGATTTAAAGTCAAATTAAAGGCTTTTAGAAAGACAGGTGTTCTGTTCTGACAAAAGTCACCAGTCATACACTTTAAATCCATATATTCCATATGGTTTGTGAACTATATGACCACTCTGTAGATTTATATATTCCTCAGTGTTTAAGTAAAAGTATAGATCAACCAGCTCTGATGCATGCCGACTTAATATAGAAGAGTCAGGACAGGCTGACAGACTCTTTTTTTCCAAAGTTGATTTATTGACGTTTGTTCATTTACACATTTAATATTTAACAAAACAGACAGAACAAAGCAGGTTTTTTTTAAGCAGAAGCAGAGTTAAAGTCACTTTGGGTGATTTATGCAGAGCAGATCTGATTTCAGGTCAGCTCCGTCCCGTATCTCCAACATAGAAAATGTCTCTGTATGAACGGTGTGTAAAGATTCTCTCGTCAGACTTTCTGAAAAGCTGAAACATGATTCTGTTTAATGTTCAGTGAGTAAAAAAAGAATCTGTGAACGCCACCGTATCTTCCAACACTTCCTGTCATCTGTGGAGTCAAATCTCCTGACTGACGTTGAGTCTGCACTGGGTATTTTATTTTGAAAAAGCCGCGACCCACTTTCATCAGGAAGGCCACAGAGAATCTGGTAAATTTTCAAAATAAAATAGTGTGCAGACTTGAATTTCACACATCAACAGAGCAGAGAAACACACAAACAACAACGTATGGCAGGAAGAGTTCTCAATCTGCATCACAGAACCAAACTGCAGCGTTGTGAAGCCCGGTGGGAGTTCGGGGTCAGAGCGGAGAAAAGGTTCGGCTGCGGAGACGAACTCCAACGTCCGTCCGAGCTCAGAAAGCTTTATTAAAACATGAACAGAGTTTCAGAAAGACTGACGGAGAACCGACGGAGGGGGCGTGTCCTCAGCAGAGAGTCCGCTGACCTCACTGGCCGCTCACAGTTTGATTGGCGGCAGCAGCTGTGACATCACTACGTGGTTCTGCTCTTGGAGGCGGGCTCCGTCTCCTGCTCGTACTCGATCTCCACGTACGCCCGCTTCTTCCTCGCCACCGAGCCGTTAGCTGGAGATTTGCCTTTAGACCGGGACGCCTTTGTTTTCGTCTCCATCTCTTCCTCCTCCTCTTCATCTTCTTCTTCCTCCTCACTGGACTCCTCCTCTTCCTCGTCCTGGTCCTCCTCGTCGCTGCTCGTCCTCAGTTTGTTCATTTCCTGAGAGAAGAAACATGTTTAATGTCATTAATTCAGACTCCTCCTACGGGAACCGTGTTTAATGTTAAAACATGATGAAGATGATTTACCTCGAAGTCGCTCAGGTCGCTCTCCTCCACCTCTTCGTCGGCTACAAACTCTCTCTTCCCGACGTCCTGCACACACACACACACATTTAGAGACACTCAAACACTGTGTGTGAACTCAATGTGAGTTATAATCACAGTGTCCTTCATCACCTCGTCATCCACCTCCTCTTCCTCTTCCTCCGACTCCGACTCGCTGTCCGCGTCCTGCTGCTCCAGAGCTCTGTCGAAGGCGTGGACCGGGAAGTTGTAGATGTCTCCGTACTGAACACACACACACACACACACACACACAGATTTAATATAATAATAAATGTGTTTTTCTGTCAGAAACTATAAAACTGCAGTGAACTGAAGAAGAGCGCAGGACGACAGGAGGTCTTCATCAGTCTGAGCTAACTGCTAACATTAGCTGACAGGCTGGAAAAAGAACATCTGTGACTTTTCTGAATGAAACATATTTACATGTCGTCTTCAACAGTATGTGTGTCTCTGCTCGTTCATTAAACTCTGCTGTGTATCAGAGCGACAGCTAACAGTTATTGTCTCCATTAATCAATAAGTTGTTTGGTCAATAAAAAGTCAGAAAATGTTGATCAGTGTTTCC